AATGGAACATATTTAGAGAGCAAGAATCAAAGTAAGGACAAAAAAATCTAAAATCAAGTAAAAGATGAACAGCAAAACAGCAGTGTAAAGAAGTGATAGACTTATAGTCAAAGGACACCTTTTTAGAAAACTGGAGTCAACTAGTTATGTGCAATAAGAGACATATTGATTAGGAAGATTTGTTTGCTTCTGGACATGTTACCATTGGGTTGCTTATGGTGTATATGGGTAAAATGTCTGTAAGAATTTGTGTGGATAAGTCTTGAATGACTCAAGATAAAGATTTGGAACACCCCTATTTGTGGATAAAACTATAAGAATTAATTAATTAGTTGAGGGAATTGGTGTAGATTGCAGAGTGGGCCATGGACAGAGCTGAATGGGAAAAAAAAAAGATATTTAAGGGTCTTAAAGAAAGAGTCTTTATGGACACCAAGAAGGCATAAATAGGAGTAGGCAGGTTTCCAGGAAAAGAGGTACTATAGAAGACTAATAATGGCAACCTCAAGAATGGGTAAATGCTCATAGAAAGTGTGTTTAAAAGTCACATGAAAACAAGGTTTGAAATGTTTTCATTGAATGTAGATGTTCTAAGCTTATACAGGAGCAAAGGCCTATCAAATTCTGTGAATTGGAAAAGTAATAAATACAAGTCAAGGAAAAGATAATTCTTTATGTGATATGGGAGAGGGAGCCGAAGGTCTTTTTTCCTGGTTGATGAATTTTCTAAATTATATAAAAGAGAGGTGATATTTTTATAAAAACATTGAAAGGAATGGAAGAAAGGCAAGCAAGAGACCCAATTTTAAAGATTGATACTGTTTATTTTACTTGCCAGTCCTAGAGTATCACTATTATCTGCAATATTGTTAGTTGCTTATGTGCAGAAATAGTACAGTGAGTTAAAGTGTGGTTGGGAAAATTATAGAAAGACATAGGTATGTGGGAACTGAATAGGGAAGAAAATGAGGAGTTGCCAAGTAAGTGGGAGAAAATAGAGAGGAAATTGGAGGTCAGTAAATGATTGAAGAAAAGGTGTGACAGAGAATGAGCATGTGTAAAAGCCTAAAAGAGGTGAGGACTTAGTGTCTGAGTGCAGAACATTGGAATTAATAGATTTCTGACAAGGTACTTCAAGTCACCTGTCCTTTTGTTATAGGAGGCAAATCAAAGGAAATAACTCCAGATGTGAGGAGAATGGGGAATTCTGAGATTAGTTCCTAGATACACATGAACACCAAGTTAATCTAGATAGTAGTGTCCCTTAGGTGGAGAAAACATTAAGACTAGCAAAGTCTTCCCTCTGTAGAAGGAGAGAAGAAGATAGGTCAGTACCTAGAATTGTTTGTTATCTGAATGGAGGGACCTGACAGGTTTCATTAAGAAAATATATGGTAATATTATTAAAGGAAAACACAGAATTTTGATTCAATTATTTTTAGAGGTAAAAATAATTTCAATTATGACAAAAAGGAAGAAGCAACATTTTATTTAGGGTTTGAGAATATAAAAGGGTATTTAGTACAGGAGAGGAGTTTTAGAATGCAAAGAAAAAAGTGTTGGGTATGTGATTTAAACTCCTATAGTCTATAACAAAATGACTTTTACTAGCATTACATTTTGTGGGCCTGTCCACACAGCCTTTGTTTGCCTAACTCCTATTAACCTCTACAGAAGTAGTACTGTGTGGATTACAGCTTGGAAAACATGGCAGAGCAGTCAAGGATAACGGAGTTGTAAAGCATTTTGCAATAGATTTGATGCCAAGTTATGGCTATTTCAACTCTCAGGTATCTGAAGGGCAGGATTTGGACAAAGATGAGGCAACTTCAAGGCCACCCAGCTTTCTGGGTTGCTTTCATGTCCATTCGTCTTTCAACTCAGCTAAATTGAGAACTCTGAGAAATCTGGGACAGATAATTTCTTTACATCAATACAGTAAAACACTTGTTTTACTATTAAGCATATTAAGAAATGCTAAACAAGTAGTTGTTTTTATTGAAGCTTGTAATGTACAGAAGAAAAACTACAACTTACCTGTTGTTTCTTCTTTTTGCCTTTGTTGAAGATTTATTTTCCTTTTAGGTATTCAGAATAATGTTAATTATTCAAATATGTTGGAGCATATTTAATAATTTTTACCTATACCTTTTAATATCTCTTGTACCTATATGCTTGTCCACTTTGATAATTCTGTTGAAATGGCACTATACAAGGAAAACTCAAGAAGGAATTTTTGGTATTACTGATTATTGAAGGCAGGCATTGTAATTATTAGAAGTAAATAAAAGAGGAGGTTGGATAGATTTGAGAAATCACTAAATCATTCATATAAAAGTGGAATTGTTTTCCCAAAGTAAAATTTATAAAGTTAACTAAAAGTATAAAAGCATACATATGGATCAACAAATGTTCAAATGGATAAATGACTTGAACATTTGTTGACCTGAACCATAAAATATATAGAAGAATATATTGGCAAAAATACTTCATGACATAAATCTCAGCAACATCTTAAAAGATATAGCCCCCAAAGCAAAGAAAATGAAAGAAAAGATAAGTACCTGGGATTTCATCAAACTAAAAAACTTGTGTACAGCAAAAGAGACACTAACCAAAACAAAGAGAAAATTTGCATACAATGCAACTGATAAGGGGCTGTCACAAAAATTTACAAAAATCTTACATGACCCAACAAAAACAATGTAAACAATCCAGTCAATAAATGGGCAGAAGAGCTAGGAAGACACTTTTTCAAAAAAAAAAAAAAAATGCAAATGGCTAACAGGTATATGAAAAAGTATTCAATGTCACTTATAATTAAAACCACAGTGAGTGAACACTTTAGAGCAGTAGAATGGCACACATTAGAACAACAACAACAACAACAACAGGTAACATGGCAAGGATGTGGAGAGAAAGGAGCTCTGCTACACTGGTGGGAATATAAACTGCTCCAAACACTATGTAAAGATCTCCATTTTAGACTACTAAAAATGGAGGTACGATATGACCTAGCAATTATATTCTGGATAGGAATCTAACCAGAGGACACAAAAACATTGATCCAAAAAATACCTGTACCCCTATGTTTATTGAAGCACTACTTAAAATAGGTAAGATATAGAAACGGCCCAAATGCCCCCAAAATAGATGACTGATCAAGAAGATGTAGAATATATACATAACAGAATACTATTCAGCAATCAAAAAAGATAAATTCAAGCCAGTTGCAGCAATGTGGATGGAGTTAGAGGGGGTCATGCTCAGTGAAATAAACCAGTAGGAAAAGGAAAAATATTGAATGGTTTGACTTATAGAAGGAATGTAAGGGAACCAATTAAGGGATTAGGAAAAAATCATATTAATAATAAAAAAAGTAGCAGGCAACCATGGATGAGAGACTTATGTGATGGAAGGGGAGGAAAAGAGATCAGGGCAAGGGAGAGAACAGCACAAGGAACTATGATAATAATAGTTCATGGGCCGGGCTTTCCTTGGTGGAATAGTGAGTTAAAGTGCAGCACTGCAAGCTAGCCACAGCTGCTCCAGTGCTAGTTCTATCCCAGACCCAAGAGGTGATCCACATGGGGCAGCAGACCTCTTCTGTGTTGCCTATTGGCCCTCCCCCCCAGCAGTGTACTTCATCAATCTGCCTCTTCTGCTCCCCACTCTGTCTCTGGTGACTCCTCTCACCACCCCTGTACCTCTGTCCTGTATCCCAATTCTGTATGCATAAATAAATAAATATTTTTAAAAATCAGTTCATGGATCAACAGGTGGTGAGAATTTTATGGGGAATACACAATGATGTAAAAGATTTAAATAAAAAATAAATGTAAAAATAGATCAACAAATGTTATGACTATCAGGAATAATATAATAAATATGGTTTTGTGCATAGAAAGTAACATATACATGTTGATGAATATTATATGCAGAAGTGTGCAGACCTCATTATATTAATTAAAAAGAAAACAAATTATGATACTTATAATTACATAATAGAGAAACATGCATGTCTGCTTGACCATGTAAAATCAAAAGTTAGTTATCATGTGGTTCCACTATGTTATGTAAAATAGTTGAAAATTTTAACTTTTGTGCCGGGCAAGTTATGAATTATACTGGAATTTGTCTTTTAAGAAATATTAATGTTACATCTTATGTTTTTATTAATAGTCTGCTATCAGAGCATCTCCAACAGCTATATACAAGACCAAAGTAAAAGCACAGTAGAAAGTTCCAATCTCTGGGTTGTTTGACATACTGTCTTCCCACAATAGCAGAACTTCTACTGTTAGGACAGAGTTCCAACATTTGTTGAGCTCTACCAATTTTAATAGAGTAATTTCACAGTGATTTATAAAATAAATTCAGACAATTTGTCAGATATTATTATTCTTTTTTTTCTCATTATAGAGAAGAGCATAAGACTCCAAAATATATTGTCGTAAAATTGCCTGTGCAACCTTGAGATCCAGTGACTATGGGCAGTTACACATACTAGTAATCTTTACTGTTATGGCTGAGACTTACCTTAACCTGAAGACCTTTAAGCTTGGCTGGGTGATTTGGAGAATCATATTGGCAACCTCTGTGTAGTCCTGGAAATCTTCCCATGACCTGGACCCAGAAGTCAGGAGAGCACTGTGCTGTTTGGTGCTTGCTTTTTTCCATTCATTTCCCCATTGTATTTTCAGTGAAAATATTTGCTTATAAACCTTCCTGTAGTCAGGCTAAGATGAAAAACAGATGATACTTAGACGAGTCTTCCCAAGTATATTGAAGAAAGAGGAAAGAATTTTCCTTCATGGTTAGGAAAGTAAAAACACTGTATTACAATGGAGTGGGTAAACTTTAGTTTCTAGTTTGAAGAGGCATGTATAACATTATAATTGGAGGCCCATACTCATACCTCCAAGAGTAAAATGTCGCCCTTATTTCACAATCCAACATCACTAGAAGTTTCAATGACCATTTTTAATTTAATGTTTTAGGCTTCAGGGAGATAATCTGGAAGAAAGGTCAGAAGAAACATCACAAATACTTCATTCTCCAGATGAAATAATCCCGGATTCTCTGGGTAAGTTTTAAATCCAACATATCAGAATTTTAGTAGCAATGGAAAATTAAAAATAATATAAAACTAAACAACTTCTCCAATACCAAATCACTGTACCTGCCTATCATATGTCTACTACCCCTAGTGTCAGACGGCTAAGGGGAAAGGAAAAAAGGAAGCAACAAGTGTGACTTCTGAGAGTAGTCTTTTGATGCCTGTACTTTTCTGAGGTACAAACCAATCTCACTTCCCTTTGTTGACTACAAAATTTATTAGCTAATTCCATCTTGTTCTTAAAAATTCACATGTCTATTCCCATTCGCCCTTCATGGATACCTTCAGGCTTCCTGGGCAGAAATGTCAACAGCATACTTGATTTTTCTCCCTCTCTCTCAGTTCTACATTAAATCTATTTCAAATCACATGTCAGCATCATTGCAGAACTTCTTACCCAGTCAGCTTTCTCTTCATACTCACTCACATTGCCTAGTCTATACTTTTGTTCTCTTTCTCTGTTTAATGTAACAACTCAATAAACAGGTCTTCTTGTACTAGCTCACACTCCTTTAGTAGTTAACTTTTGAAAAATAATGATACTTATTTCATCTCCCTTCCCTATACGGCAAATGCAAACTCCTTAATTTATTATACTAAGTTCAGGGTACTTCCAAACATTTGCTGAGTAAATAATGAAATAATAAACAAATAGGTAGGTAGCTAAATAAATACACAAATAAACATATAAATAATGCTACTGTAATGAATATAAGTAAAGTATATGAATGCTTCATTATCCAGTGTTTTAGCAGAAAGCTATGAGTACATCCAGCTATGATAACTAGAGGGAAAAGCATATGAAAATATCTACCTTACATCTAAATAGAGGACATATTTAAAAAGATGCAAAACATTTCCAAATAATAAGAATTAATTGGATACTTCAACTATAGAAAGTTAAGAACTCCTGTTCTTAAAAATGCCACAAAAAGTGGATAAGTAAAAATTAAAAATAGATTTGCAATATATTGGTCACTAATTGAAGCTTAATATTCATCATACAAAGAACACAGTTTAATAAAGAAAAGATACAAAAATTGCAACAGATAGACTTTTCAAAAAGGGAAAAATAAATGGTCAAAGAATATAAGAGAATTGTTAAGTACCAGTCAAGGAAAACCATATTAGACTGTAGAAAGATGCTACTTTACCTTTAGCTTGGTATTAATTAAGGAATCTGGCAAAATCAAGTGCTGGTGAGCACAGAGATGAGAGAGAAAGCCATACATTACAGGTGGAGTATAAATAATTTTGGAAAAAGTCTCCCATTATCTTAAAATCTTGAGTGTTTTTATCCTCTAAAACCCATGAAACTGTATTTTCTGGTAAATATCTTAGAGAATCAAGTCTTTTTTTCTTTTTTTAATACCTTAAATTGTGAACATGGACTCATGGACACAAAAATGGGTACATTGAGCAATAAATAGTGGAAACTGGACTTCAACTGCACAGATAGGCAGGATGAAATAAGTGGCAAAGTTGATGAACAATTGTTTCTTAAAAAAATCCTTATTTTCAGAGGTGGATAGTTTTGTTTGGTGACTTAGTTATACTATATATATTCATTAAACATATTTTATATATACTTTTTACATTTTTAAAATGTAATGTTACTTAAAAACACTACAAGGTTAAAGTTCTATGGACACATAAGCCAGTGTCAGTGTAGCACAACAAAATACAAAGAAATGTTAATATATATATCCAAGTCTCCTAAGATCTGATGATATGAATCACCCTAACAATAAAGCTGAATAATGTGTCATTGGCAACATGGACTCTGGTCATTTCTTCATATTCTTTTATCTCCTAGAGGTAGCCTAGCTTCCTTTACTGATATTCTTGCATATGTACCTTTACTAAAAACATTGTTCTCTGGCTTGTAGTCAAGTTCATTCTTTTGACCTATGCCTATTTTAAGCCAGTGGTCTAAGAAAATGGCAAATCTCTGATGACCTTTATTTTATCCACTATTTTTTTTTTTTTAATTATTGTGTGTGTGTGTTTTTTTTTTTGCCCACCTCCGTTGGAGTTAGGCTTTTTGAAGTTTCCTTGTTCACCATCACTCCCAATATAAAGCCTTGCCAAAATAATTATTTAAATACTGGCCAATTTAAAAACAATTCTATCAAA